ATTGAGACACTCAATTGTCTCTGGGATGCTATGCCTTGGGGACAAAACCCATCCCAGATAAGAAATGAGCAGCTCTCCCAGGGTTCTGAGGCTGGGGGACTTCCCACTGGCAAGGCCTCCTAAAGCTGGGCTAACCTGAAGCTGGGAATGATGTCTCTTCCTGGACGATCTTCCCTTTGGGAAAGTAAAAAGCACCAGGACATTTCTGTTTTAACTGGATCCTCGCTCCACCAGCCCATCTGGAACTCAGTACCGCTCCCTGCACTGGGATGAGGAGGGTGGTGTGGTGAGAAGCTGCCTTAGGCATACAGCAGGATGGGGACATAGGACTCCACAGGAGAGAATTAGGCTGGGGTGGGGGTGGCTGACTTAGGGAAGAGTGCTGATTTAGGGATGGGATGGGCATCGCTTCTGGGCTGCTGGGTTCCCACGTGGTAGGGTGCTCCTGGGCAGGGCCCCCTGATTTACTCCAGGCTGGTGCTGCTCTTCACCATGGATGCAGCGCTGTCTATGGGGACCAGGAAGCAGGTAGGAGGGGACGTGAAGTCTGATTCTAATCCCAGCTTGGCTACCAACTTGCTTTCTGATCCCAGTCCTGAGGTCTTTACCTTTCTGAATCTCAGATGATCCTTCTATTCTAAGTCAGTAGGACATCCTCTTCCTCCTGAGGTAGGAGAGGGGCCTCTTGGGCATCAGTGAGCTTGGCCCTGAGGGGAACTCTTGCAGCAGTGCCTTACGAACTGCAGCAGTGGAATCTCATGCCAGTCTTGGTTAGCTGGAGCTTTAGAAACCAGGCCCTCTGCTTTGCAGAGGCTATCTTCTCTGCGGAGACGGGACTGTGCTGAGCACACCTTGTTGGTGCCCTCCCTAATGCCTCACGCTGAGCAGGGCCCACTGAGAATGTGTGTGAAGCCCCATAAGGCACCCAGGCCTCCAGCCTCCACTTCTTACTCTCTTCAGGATAAACACAGGAGCCAGGGCGTGGCAGGGACTAGGGTAGGAGAGATCAGCGTGCCCAGGCCTGCACCCTGTGGAGGTGCAGAGAAACCACAGCCCTGGAAACACCTTCCAGGGCTGCCAGTGTTGGCTGGGGAGCCACCAGACGAGGAGGGAGGAATCGTGACCCACAGAAGAGGATCCTAGGTCAAGGCCCAAAGAGGAGGCCCAGGGTGAGGGCCTCAGCTCTGCCTCTGTGTCCCAAAAACAGAGACGTTTTCTTCCCATTAAGGGAGAAATTTGCTATCCTCTAAGCCCTGTCCTGTGACCCTTCCTCTGTCCCTGACACATCTTCCTGTTACCTGACCTCTCCCCATCCCCCACCACCCCAAACGGTCCCATAGCCAGGAGGGTCTGCATCTCAGCAACATCCCCACCCTACTCCGACTCCTCAGACCCACAGCCAGGAGGGCCTGGGTTCTGTCCTAGGGCCCGGTGGGGGTCTGGATGCGGACAGCAGACAAGAGTGAGCAAGAGAAGGAGAGCAAGGAATGAGTGTGCAGAGGGCACCCATGCCCAGCTGGCCATGCTCCAGCCCAGAGACGGCCTGGCTGGCCCCTCCCAGCATCTGCTGAATTCAGTGGCTACTCTAGTTACCAAATAACTGTCCTAGAGCTCCGATGCAAAGTTCAAGTGTTGTTTTCCGTGGTGGGTCAGAATATCCATGTAAATATGCCACGTTGATCTTCTCCAACCACAGAGTGGGACAGGAAGTCCTATAGAATCACTCCTCTTTCTCCATCTGGATTCAGAGGGTCATCCTAGAACCCAGTGCTTCCTCTGGCAGACTCTTTCCTCCTGGTGTCTCCCTGGCACAAGCCCTCAGATCTGTTCAAGGCACCAGAGAGGCTGGGAGGCTGGGGTGGGACAGAACGTGGATGCCAGCTATGCTCTGAATACTAATTCTCCCCATCACTCCTGCCCTTCCCAACCCACAGCAGCCCTCTCTCCCCAAGCCCAGAGAACCTGGGGTTCCTTGAATCTCATTCTTCCCTCTCGGTCCAAGTAACAGGGAGCTATGAAAAAAGAATGGCATCCTGGAGGAAGACCCTGACCCAGGAGTAGAAGGGACTCTTGAAGGCAGTGTCCTGCCTCTCCTTCCTCTCAGGTCCCACTCTGGAGGGACCCTTCCAGGGCCTCTGACACCAACACACAGATCCTCGAGAGGTGCACAGGGCCACTGAGTGCATCTGACCCTGGACTTCCAGCTGCCCTGTCACCAGCTGCTGGTCCCATGAGGCCCTGGCCCCAGACGCTGGCAGCTACAGAGGAAGGGCCAGGCAGACCCTTCGCCCAAACTTGCAGGAGAATGGCCAAGGCCTTTCCCTGACTCCAGCTCAGGCCCAAACCCCACCTAGCCCCTGGACACTCACACTCCTTCATCATGCCGATGTCCACACAGCGTTTGAGCCGGCAGGCCTGGCAGTGGCGCCGGTTGTCCTTGGTGATGCGGCAGTCCCCGTTGAAAGGGCAGGTGAATAGTGCCTTCCGCTTCATGCTTCGCCTGCCGAGAGAGCACACAGCCTGCCCTGGGTCACTGAACTTCTGGCTCCTCGCCCTGTGACCACGGAGACCTGTCTTCTGGGCCCCCTGGTCTCCATTTCTCCAACAGAGGACATGGGGCCCACCCCAGCTGCCAGCCACTCTTACCTCTAGGTTGGGCACCAAACGATTCTTACTTCTCCTTTCATTGCCTGCCCAGCTCCCATCATGGCTTGTACTTACTTTTTTTCTTTTAATTTTTTTTTTTTTTTTTTTTTTTTTTTTTTTGCGGGAACAGGGTGTTGCTTTGTAGCCCAGGCTGAAGTGCAGTGGCATGATCTCAGCTCACTGCAGTCTAGACCTCCTGGGTTCAAGTAATCCTCCTGCTTCAGCCTCCAGTGTAGCTGGGACTACAGGGGCATGCCACTATGCATGGCTAATTTTTGATTTTTTATAAAGATGGGGTCTCACTATGTTGTCCAGGCTAGTCTGGAACTCCTGGGCTGAAGCAATCCCCTCTCCTAGGCCTCCCACAGTGCTGGGATTACAAGTGTGAGCCACTGTGCCCCGACTCTTTTTTTTTTTTTGAGATGGAGTCTCACTCTGTCACTCAGGCTGCAGTGTAGTGGCTCACTCAGCTCATTGAAAGTTCCACCTCCCTGGTTCACACCATTCTCCTGCCTCAGCCTCCTGAGTAGCTAGGACTACAGGCACCCGCCACCACACCTGGCTAATTTTCTTTTGTATTTTTAGTAGAGATGGGGTTTCACCGTGTTAGCCAGGATGGTCTCAATCTCCTAACCTCATGATCCACCCGCCTCAGCCTCCCAAAGTGCTGGGATTACAGGTGTGAGCCACCATGCCGGGTCGCACCCCAACTCTTATACTTACTTTTACAGTACTCTGTTCCCCTTCCCATTTTAAAAAATTACACAGGAAATAATGCAAGTGCATTTCCCTAGAAAAAACCTTTTTAAATATTGAAATCTCCAGAGTAGCCAGCATAATAACATTTAACGAGCTGCTATGAGAAGTAAGGATGCTAGTCTCAGCATGAAGTCTTCTAGAGTCTAGAGACCTGTGACTGGAATATCTCCTGTTCTGGGGATAGATGTGTACATGGAAGGGAGAAAAGGCCCAAACCATAGCTCTAGACGTCCCAGAGCCTGCCCAGAAATAGAAGGGGCCAGACAAGCAGGTGGAAATCCTGAGGCCTGGCCTTGGATTTTTGAAAGGAAGAGGAAGCAGGAGCTCTGCAGGAAGAGGAAGCAGGAGCTCTGCAGGAACAGAAAACTAGAGCTGGGCATGGTGGCTCACGCCTGTAATCCTAGCACTTTGAGAGGCCGAGGTGGGCGGATCATCTGAGGTCGGGAGTTCAAGACCAGCCTGGCCAACATGCCAAAACCCCGTCTCTACTAAAAATACAAAAATTAGTTGGCCATGATGGTGCATGCCTGTAGTCCCCGCTACTTGGGGGCTGGGGGCTGAGGCAGGAGAATTGCTTGAACCCAGGAGGCAGAGGTTGCAGTGGGCCAAGATCATGCCACTCCACTCTAGCCTGGGCAACCGAACAAGATCCTGTCTGAAAAAAAAAAAAAAAAAAAAAAACCAGAAAACTACTAAAGTGTTCTTAGCTAGAAAGGTGGCACCCTTGAGGCTGGGCGTGGTGGCTCAGGCCTGTAATCCCAGCATTTTGGGAGGCCGAGGTGGGTGGATCACGAGGTCAGGAGTTCAAGACCAGCCTGGTCAACATAGTGAAACCCCATCTCTGCTAAAAATACAAAAATTAGCAGGGCATGGTGGCACATGCCTATAGTTCCAGCTACTCGGGAGGCTGTGGCAGGAGAATCGCTTGAATTTGGGAGGTGGCGGTTGTAGTGAGCCGAGATCACACCACTGCACTCCAGCCTAGGCAACAGAATGAGACTCTGTCTCAAAAGAAAAAAAAAAAGAAAAGAAAAGTGGCACCCTTGTAGCCTATGTAAGTTGTGTGTGTGTGTGTGTGTGCACAAGTGTGCAAGTTTAAGGGCTCATTTTCCTAATTCGAACATTCTCTCCCACTGCCAGTCACACCACGTGGACTTTGGGAGGCTGTATAAAGGACACCTCCCTGAGGCACGCCCCTAGAGGCTTTTCATCATCCGTATCCTGAGAGTCCTGCCCTCCTCCCAGCCCCAGCAGGAGTGGGCCCCACTTTTCTGACATAGTTAGTTGGGGAAAGATGGTGGCGGAATCACCGTCTGCATGAGCAGCAGCATCTTTCAAGGAACTGCTGAGTGTGAAGATGCCTAAGCCTTCCCAGCCAAAGCCCAGCCCCAACCATTTCCTTCCTGGAAATGAGCTGCTGACATCCGCTCAGGGACCACGCGTTAGTTAGGATTCTTGGTAAAACATGACTCACTGTTCATCTTCATTAGCACACACACGGGGTTGAGGGCAATCGCACTCATCAATTGACAAGCTTGCTCTAGCAAAGGGACAGCTGGGGACCACACCGACTCAGCCCCTGGGACAGAGAAGAGGTAAGAGTAGAGCTCTGCTGGCAGTCCCAGGCAGGCCCAGACTCTTAGATCCATAAAGGGCCCAAGAGACTGTCAGTGTAACTCCCTCCCTTTATACGTGGGAACACTGAGGTTAAGCAACTTATGGATGAGGATATTCAGCAAGAAGTGCAGGCTTCTAGGTCTGGAAGTCTTAGGGATCTGAGGATTAGCCTTTAGCTTCCTGGATTGTTTTCAACCCCAGAAACTTAAAGTGCCCAGTGAAGTTGACGTCCCAAACAGCCCCAGGTGGCTCAAGGCCAAGAATGACCCAACAGTCAAGGAAGCAGCTGCTGTTGGTTTTGGACCTTGACTCTGGTACCGTGCTGTGACGACCCTCATCACCCAAGGGGCCTACCGCAGAGCCGGGGTTGTCAGGGAGGTGGAGCAGCACCAGGCTGTCAGGGGCTCCTTAGCTCCAAGTCAAGCCTGCCTCAGGCCCAGTCCTAACCCTGCAATAGCTAACAAGAGAGAAGTTACATGCCAGGCTTTTTTCCATCTTTGTGGAAACAAAAAGCCTTTTGCCTTTCACCTCTATTTGTTTACTGCCGCTTTTCTGGAGGGACAAGAGACTATGGAAGTACCTTGAGAACTGTTAGTGTTCCCCAGAAACGAGATACAATCATCCCCACAGGGCACATCTGTATATTCCAGGACATGAGATTGGCGTCCCTCCCACCAACCTTGTGGTTCTTGAGGCTTCGTCCGTCACCACAAATGCTCAGGCTTCAGAATGCCCGTAATTCTCTAAACTTACTCAAGGACCAGAAGTTTCTATTTCAGAAGAAACTCTCATTTCCTTTTTTTTTTTTTTTTTTTTTTTAACAACCAGGCATTTCGCTCTGGTCGCTGAAGGGCTGCTCTGTCCTCCCACTGGCTGTCTTGTCTGGTTCAGAGCTCTTCCTGTTAAACCTGCAAGGCCATGGGCACCAAGAAGACAGCACATCGTCAGCCTAGCGCAGCCACCACCTCCAGTGATGTGAACCAAAGCCTCTCAGCAGACCGGGCCCGGGGCTGAGAGCTTCCTGAGGCCCCAGGGCCTATCAGGGGCCCCGTCTGTCCTTCCCCAGGTTCCAGGGAGCCTGCATTTGACCCTCATTTGGGGGCAGCCCCAAGTGGAGCCAGCTGCAGGGTTGCCTGAAAAGAGATTCCACTGCTTCCCCATCTTTCTCTCATCTTTCTCACGTTGCTTTAAATATGAAGCTCCATCTCAGATGTCTATACACAGGAGGGTTGGAGATTGCCACTCAGCCCCACTTTTCCTGACAATGGGAATGAGGCTAGGAATGGGAAGAGAAAACAGTGCAGAGCTGAGTTAAGAGAAAGTACTGGGACTGGGCACGGTGGCGTGAGCACGCCTGCAAGCCCAGCACTTTGGGAGGCTGAGGTGGGCAGATGGCTTGAGCTCAGGAGTTTGAGACCAACCTGGTCAACATGGTGAAACCCTGTATAAGATTAAAAAAATTTAGCCAGGCATGGTGGCATGCGCCTGTGGTCCCAGCTACTTGGGAGGCTAAAGTGGAAGGATGGCTTAAGCCGGTGAGGTCAAGGCTGCAGTGAACCAAGATTGCGCCACTGCACTTCAGTGTGGGTGATGAAGTGAGATCCTATCTCTAAAAATAAAAAATAAAAGAGAAAGTACTGGGGGTAAAAAAAAAGTTTGGTGCTCTTGCTTCTGCTTAAGAGTTGTCATAAGAAGCCCGAGAACACTGAAAAAGAAGAGAACACCGTTAGGCTCTGGAGCGTGGGGTCGGTGTTCAGGGTACAGAAAGCTTGCTCGCCAGCTCCAACTGCCAGACCCAGGGGCTCCCTGGAACTCAGATCCCAGAGCTGACCTTTTAGGTGTGTCTGGCCCAACATGTCTGTTTGCAGGGCCACAGATCTTCTTGGCTCAGAAGTACTGTTCTTCCCTGTTCTCCTGCCTTCCAAGGGCACTTCCACGTGTGTGGCTGTCATTTACTCTCTGCCCACGAGGAGTCAGGACAGCCAGACTGCCCAGCCCTGGCTCTATGCTTTGTCCTGAAGGTCCACACCCTACCCTGCCTTCCTCCCAATACTAATTGCCTGTGAGCTGGTTTGGATTTGAGAAACAAGAGCTTCAGGTTTCCATGAGAGCCCATTGCCTCAGCTGCTCTCTGAGCCTGGACCCTGTCATCCTCTGGTTGGTTGGCATTTATACCCCAGCTCAGGAAGAGGGGTAGGGGTGGGGCAACCAAGCTAAATATAGATGCAGTTTCTAGAAAGCCAGGGGTGAGAGAGGACATTGACTGATTCTCATGCCAGAGACCAATTTATCACAACAGAAAGAGACAAAAACCTCACAAAAGCATCAAGAGCCTGGGGCCAGGGCCTCAGGCCTGGGACAGTTGGGCCTTTCTCCAGTAGGTGGCCTCTGCCAGCAGAGACACACGTTGCATAACCCAGGCGTAGGGTCAACTATCCCCTCTGGGCTCTGTCTCCACTGCACTGAGTGTCACAGAGA